CTTATCCCTGTTGAACAAATCCGATACCTTGGACAAACGTCTAACTTGGAATCCTCATACCAGACTGAAACGACAAGAAACCGCTCGACGTTTCCGACTACTCTAACACTTACTAGACAAACGCTCTAAACTTCCCATTAATTACAAAAGACTCATATACTTGACTATAATAAGACCTATTTGGACTTATGGAGTTGAGCTATGGGGCTCCACTAAACCATTGAATTTCTCTCGCATCCAATCCTTACAATCCAAAATCCTTCGTAAAATCCTCAATACTCCTTACTTTGTCACTAATAAAATAATCCATAAAGACCTCAATGTTCCATATGTTTCCGATTTGGCCAAATCCAGATACCTGGTTTGGTATATCCAGATACCTTCCATAATAAACTTCATAACCATCCAAATCCTCTTGTTTCTAACCGTGCTTCCTCTTCGATTCCTGATAACCCTCCGAGGCATCTGAAAAGAGGATGGCCTCGTGATCTTCTCATGTAGACAAATTATTAGAGTGCTACCAGTGGGTAGTTTCTCAACAAGCGTGTTTCATGTGATAATATTTCTCTGTACACATTTACTTGATGTATTCATACTAATACAGTTGTAAATATCATAATAAAAGTTAAAAAAAAAAAATTGTTATTAAAGACATATGGAAGCATTATTGTGTACCGATTGAGCTATTTGTAGTTCTAGCTTTGAAGAGGATCCCATCGTTGACTTATAAAAAGAAAATACCGGGATTGAAACGTCAATAAACATAGAAGAAATGAACATTCAATAGTTTATTAAATAATTAATAAGTGACCTTATTCCCAATTAAATAGTTAAGTTTAAATTTGTTATATATATATATATATATATATATATATATATATATATATATATATATATATATATATATACACATACATATATACAATAACAAATTTAAACTTAACTATTTAATTGGGAGTAAAGTCACTTACTATATATATATATATATATATATATATATATATATATATATATATATATATATATATATATATATATATATATATATATATACATAGAGATTTAGATGTATAAAGAGTTAGAGCAATATAATAATAACGAATATTATAAAAATCAACTTTTTCTACCAATTCTAGGAATTGACATATAAAGTTATAATTGATCTAAACTTTGAACCATAGGAGATAAACTAGTAAAATAATATATATTCTGGAAAAAAATTTATTTATTTAAAACTTTCTTCCCCACAATTTAATCGTAGAAAGAAGCAATCAAGAGTTAGCTAGTCAAATACAGTAAAAGACATGTGGTAAACAATTTTTTTTCCACATTAGTGATAGTTGAGGACAGATATATCCAAAATTAATCGAGCTAACAAAAATCATATAATCAATAATATTTTCACAATTCTTATATCCCATTAGTTGCCTAAAAATACAGTCCACTGTCAAATTATATCTTATGTTGCCTGAAGTTGAACTCATTAGAGTTTATTTGCCTTTTTTTTCCTAAAAGTCGTTAATTGCCTATAAACCCTCGTAAGTAGCTACCTCCAGGACAAATTTGTAAAAGCAAGAGGTAGCTACCATAGAGAGAGGATGCCCTCGAGGATCAGTCCTTGTTCAAGCTCTGTGGGAATTATTATTCAATGAGTTGCTGTGTGTGCTCGAAAAGGAGCAGTTCCCAACAATGACCTACATTGATGACTTGGTTATCATAGTACTCTCTAATAGCAGAACTGGAATAAAGCAGGAAGCAGAACAGTGTGCCAACCTGGTTGGACAACGATGTGAGGCGATGAAGTTACGAATGGCCGTATCAAAGACAGGTGATCCTGGTGAAAGGAAAGATGGATAGGGCACACTCATCAATCTCTATATACAGGGTACGAGAATACGTCCAAGTGAAGTGGTCATATACCTTGGGATAAGGTTTGGAAGAGGATTTAATATGAACCCTCATTTGGACTACTTCGGAAATAGGGTGCCCCTAGTCTTGAATGTCCTTAGTCGCCTCGGGGTTGCATTTTGGGGCCTGAGATTCCTAGTTACTATGACCATTTATAATAGAGTGGTACTGATTATTCTTTCCTGAGTGGTCCGAGAACCTCATATGGACTGAAATACAGGTTGCTGATGATTCAATGTATTGCTCTTTTGCCCGTTACCACATAAAAGCCTAAAGGCCAAAATAATGCGGAGAACTAGAATTTATGCTCCCAGAGAAAATTAATTTCCTCAACTAGTGACGGAGCTGAACTACCCGTCTTACAAAGATTTTGTGTGCTGGTGGAAAGCTGCTCTGAGCCTGTCACACTTCAATCTGGGAAGTAGATTACCAACCCTGGGAAGATAAAAAGATTTACTAGACTTGCAAATGACTTCCAAGCATTTAGTGTGCTTCACAACTTGAAGCAATCAAGGATTCGACAAGCAAAATCCTCTTACTTCCATGAAGCCATCATCAGCTCCTGATATCAAAACTAAATAGTCACTACTTCGCAAACTTTTCTTTTGTGGACCTTCTGAATCCCCTACCTTACTAGCCTTTCCAGTATCACCTGATGGTTTAAACTCACATTGTATATCTGCTGCTTCTACCTCTTCCCGGCCATCTCCCTCTGGTTTTTCATTTCAATCAACCACTTTCTTCCTATTTTTCTCTGTCCTCAGGAGTTATCCAGGGATCTAGCATATCTCCTCTTCTTTTTAGTGCCTATATAAATGATCTTCATAAATCAATCCTTAATTGTTCACATCACCTTTATGCCATCAATTCTTAAATCTATTTTTCATTCTCTCCTTCTGAGTTATTTGTATCATTTTCCAAGATTCAAGAAGATGTAGATCGAATCAGTGCCTGGACGATTCTAAACAAATTAAGGTTGAATGCTGCTATAACTCAGGTCATTGTCATTGGTTCCAGGCCCCTTCTCCAATCAAATGCTAACTTCCCCACACTATACCTAAATGTCCAACCCATTACCTTTTAATTCTCTGTTAAAAACTTAAGCTTTTTCATTAACTAAACTGGCGTTACCACATTTCCTAAATCGCTCAACAATCAATTTCCACTCTCAAATTAGTCTATCGCTTCCACCATCTTCTACCCGAACCTACCAGTAGACTCTTAGTTTCTTACCTTATCTTCCCCCAATTTGATTACTGCTGTGTGGTGTACATCGGTCTCTCATCTCTCTGTGGATCTCTGTGACAAACTGAAGAGACTTATGAATAGCTTTGTCAGATTTGTCAGTGAAACCCCAACATTCCTGTGTCACGTTAGTGGAGTTTTCACAGATCTGCCTCTTTCCAAAACTCCTAATTTACCCGCTCCGCTAATTTCTGGAATTCCCTCACTTTAAAAATCCTACATGCTCCCTCCTTATCCACCTTTAATAGCAGGGATGGCATACCAGTGGCGGATCCAGGAATCTTCTCAAGGGGGCGCCACCTACCTCTACCACGTGCTTTCCCCACTCCTACCTGTTCCCCACCACTACCCATCTCCTCCCACTCCTTAGCAGAGTTTAGTCGTTTTTTAAATTTTTTTTACAAAAGCAAACTTTATTTTTATTTTAAGTAAATTTTCTCTAATTTACAGTGAAGCTATCATGAATTACTTAAATTTAATAGTTTTTTGTTATAACTTCCTATTCAACAAAAAACGTGACATAAAAAATCACATAACTTTAATTCCCTACTTTCCTGCTAAAAATCGAACCATTGTTTATATAAACTTTTTTGTATTTATTGAGTTATGCTATCACTCCTTTTTGCACTACTCTGAGACACCTTGTATATGGGTTTAGACATGTAAAAAACTAAATTTCTAACAGGGGTCACCAAGACAAAACTTTTTACAGTCAAAAATTCCAGATTTATCTGATCTTTTTTCTTTTTCATGTATTACTACTAAATAGTGCATCAAAGCGAAAAACGTATTCTTTAAGAAATTAAAGAATATCAATTTGTGTGTCGAATGAGTACCTAAACTTAATAATTTGATTAAGTGATATGGTCGATAACTATAGTCAATGAACGCTAATTTTACCAATATTGTCAAAATCTGAGAAAGATTACTATAAATGGCCCTGCAGCTTGGAAATGAGTTCTCTAAGAAAAAAAACTCAGAATAATTTCCGATTCCGATCAAATCGGAATCCAAATAATTAGTACATTCCTTCATGAAAATGTTCCCAACAGCAGCTATTTTAATAAATGACAACACTTTCTAATGAGAAATATACAAATTATTATCGTGAGCAGTTTTATGAATCGCATGGATTCTTCAAGGAGAATGTAGTTCCTGAAGGTTGCAATGCGTCCAGATCTATTGGAACTGAGTAAAAACTGGGTCCGGAAGAAAACCCGCATTTTCTTGTGCTCGAATAAAAGGTTGTTCGAAAGAATAGATGAAGTTAATTTTTTTTAATAAATTTTCCTACATCATGTATTTCACCTATCAGCTGTTATTTTGGATCTTTTTTTTGGGAATTTTTTTTCTAAAATCCAGAGAGGAACTGGCAGAAATCACTAGTGCTTGTCATGATAATAACTTTTTTTTATTTTACATTAGAAAATTCGTCTATGAGGATGAATGTTTCCTATATTTCTCTTTTCGTTAAATAGATGTTTTTTTGGAATATTTTTTCACCATCCAAGGGAGGGGGGGGGGCGCGCCCCCCGGCTGGATCCGCTAGTGTGGCATACACATAGTTGTGTGATATACCATCCCTGCAAAACTTGTGTAGCCAAAAGGTAAGGCAGGGAAGAATAAATAACTAAAATAAAAATATAGCATAAAATAATTAAATTTTGTTATATAAAACAAAATATATTGTGTTATATATAAATATCAGTTGTTATTTTACTTAATTATTTTTTATTATTAATGAATGTTTAGAATAAATATATTTACAAAAATATAATTCTATTAAGATATTATCAGATTGTTTTACAAATTCAACAGATTTTGTTTGTTTTTTGTTATTGTTTTAGGGTCATCTACAATTGAAGCTTATTCACCGCGTCATAATAGTTGGTCACATGTCACTAGTCTGCCTCATCGACGCCTACAGTCTGGAGTGGCAGCATTAGGTCAAAAACTTTTTGTTGTTGGTGGTCGTGACGGACTTAAAACCCTCAGCACTATCGATTTTCTTGATTTGGAAGCAAAACTTTGGTTAAACATTGCACCTATGTCAACAAGCAGACATGGATTAGGTGTAACAACTATGGAGCCAAATGGACCACTGTATGCAGTAGGAGGTCATGATGGATGGAGCTACTTAAATACAGTTGAAAGATGGGATCCAGATACTGGAGAATGGTCTTATATAAAATCAATGAATTCACCACGTTCAACAGTTGGTGTGGCTATTTTATATAATAGGTATTTTTTAGTAATATTCCGTATAATATCTTAAGACCTCCATTCTTTCCAATGTATCCAAGCCACTGGATAGATTGGTCCACTCTTAGCTTAATAACTTCCTCGAGCAGAACCTTTTTTTTTTTTGCTCCAACATAGAGGGGGTGCACCGTGGCCTCAAAAAGGCCTATTGTGTGTCGTCCTAAACTCAGTTAAAACAGGCAAGATGCCTTCGCGAACCTATTGATACTGGTGGGATCAATCAGTTCACAGTGCTTGGGGTCAGTGATACGATCACATCCAAAGTGAAAGTATCGCAGTCTAGCCAAATTATCACATCTGCAAATAATGTGATAGGTGTTGTTGTGTAAAGCCAGTATACCATTTTAGGTTTGAGTCCTCAACTCTTTCCTATTGCTCTTTTACAGGCCCATAGGCATTTGAGGGCTTTACTTATCACGTTCTGAACGTGCTTAGTCCATGGCAATTTTTGGTCCAAGATGACTCCGAGGTGTTTTACTTCCTTGCTCTATGTCAGTTGGATACCATTGATTTCCGGCATTTTAATAAACACCTTTTTCTTCCTAGTGAAGATGCACACATTGATTTTCCTAAGGTTGATGCTTAGTCCATTAATCCTGCACCAATTCCTAAGAATATTAGATACTGTATTGAGGAGATCAGAGAGGACACTCTGATGCTTTCCTCCTATTAGGATAGCAATATCATCAGCTTATCCTTGCGCGTAAATGCCTGCAGTGTTTAGGACTTCCAACAATGAGTCGGCCACAAAGCACCACAGTAACGGAGAGAGCACACCTCTCTGTGGACAACCACCACAGGGTTTAATCCACAGTTCCTTGTGCTCTAATTCTGATTTTAAGACTCTGTCCTCCAACATCCTCCTAATCCATCTAGAGGACATAGAGTCTATGTTTTTTTTTCCTTAGTACATCATTTATGATGTTATAGGGAGTTCTGGCTGAGTTGGGGGCACCCTCAATATCAACGAAGACACCTACCATGATTTCTCTGTGTTCTAAGGATTTCCCTGGTTGGTAGGCATATTGCTTTGAGTGTATTGGGCTTGTAGCCAATATATGTTCCCTAATATGTCTGTCAAGTATCTTTTCTAATCTCTTCATTATGAAAGATGACAGACATATTGGCCTAAATGCCTTGGGGTTCTTCGTAAGACTCTTTTCCTGGTTTTGGAATGTTTCGCACTTTGGATATCTTCCATTTACATGGTAGATATCCCAGTGCTTAGGCTACCTCTTAGTAATTCTAGAAGGTATGGCCTTATCTCTGAGAGACCCTTCTGCAGGAATGCTGGAAAGATCTCATCAGTTCCAGCAGATTTAAAAGGAGAGAATGAATTCACTGCCCATTCAAGTCTGCTATTTGTAATCGCTCTTCTTGCAAGACCCCACATACGTGCACCAGTACCACGATCCTGTGTATTGGGGTCAAGAGGTTCCGTTACTGTCATAAAACAACTTGGGAAATGAGCTTTTGCTACAATACTCAACGTTTCAATTTCATTCGTGGTGTATTTATCCTCATGTTTGAGTGTTCCCATCGTACCTGTGTTGGTTTGTTTTGACAGTATTTTGTTTACTTTACATACTGCCGGAATGTTATCAACTTCCAGACAACACCTTTTCCAGGCTTATCTTTTGGCTTTCCTGACAGATTTGTGTTGCTCAGTAAGAGCTTCCTGTAGGTATCCCAATTTCCAGATGTTTTAGCAGCATTGAACAATCTCCTTGTGAGTGTTCGTTGCTTTGTTAGACTACCATTCCACCAGGACACTTATCTGTTGGTTATGGTTTTTTTGCTTCATTACTGGCCAAATATGATCTAATCATAGCATCAGTAATTGAAGTATTTAAGCATTCCAATTGCCATGTATTGTGGATAACTTTGGGGCAGCATTTAACAGCTGCCTCCAAGTTAGTACTATAGGACTCCCAGTCTGTACGTTTGGGATCTCTATATTCCACATCATGTTGTATTCTGTCAGATATATCAAATCTGATATACCTGTGATCCGAGCATGTTTCTTCATCAGGACATGCCAGTTATCTATAAGGACACTAGTCGATCGAGTCGCTAGTGTTATGTCTATGATCTCCGTTCTAGTTCTATTACAAAAGGTAGACTTGTTCCCCCTGTTCAGAATATCAAGATCATATTTAATTATAGTCTCTAAGAGTTTCTCACTTCTAGAGTTAGTGTTTGAGCTCCCCCAGATCTCGTTATGAGTATTAGCATCAAGGGCAGCAACAATTTCCCCACTGCATCTTAGTAATTCTTCAATTCCCTCTGCAGGTACTGGGTGTTCATATGGCAGATATACCGCCACTATGATTGTAGTTCTTTTATCCTCTTGATGGGTATATTTGGCTGCTGCAAGATTTCTAGAACAAATTGCCATAGAGGCAGCAGTTTTTATAAAGAAGGCAGGCTCTAGGATATGTGGGTGCGGAAATTATTCCATACCCATACATATTCAGTCCCTTGATCCTGCCTTCATATAAGTAAGGTTCAAGAATTAAAATAGTATCAATATCCTTACCTTTTATATACTGTTTCAATACACCATATGCCGCAATGCAGTGGTGGATATTAATCTGCAGCAGTTTCATAATTGGTTTGTATGATTTACTTTCTGGAGGGTGGTTTTCCAGACTAGGCTGATGGTAGGGTTCCTCCATCAGACTCAGTTTTCACCTTGTTCTTTGGTTTTTCCCCACCGCTCGACCTCGCTTTCGACCCTCCACCAGTAATTGAGGAGTGCCGCTAGACCGAGGTCTGGCCACCAGACCGCGACAGTGGACAGGATTCGCCTCTGTAGCCAGTTTTCACTGGTTCCTTTGGCTTGGCCCCTCTCCTGACCTGGCCGACGTCCTCGACCCCGTCCTCGAAGCACTCCTTCTAGAAGAGGAAGATTCCCTGGTCTCCTTCTCTTTAGATGTACCTGTCCTTGGTGCCTCTTCCTGCATTTCCTCCGGAGCGGGCTTACTGTCTAACGCCAAGTGCCTGAAGGTTATAACGTATATACCGCAGCAGGCCTGCATCCCATGTGAAGTGAGGCTTTGGAGGCAAGTCTCCGGTATATTAAATATTCCAAAAGATCCTCTTTCCAGAGCCTTGAAATTGAACACGGTCCAGGTATTAATGCCAGTTATTGACTGATTTTGGATCTGGAACCGGTTTAGGTAGTAATCAGCAGGTAGAGCCTTTCCTGGAAAGAAGGCTCCAATCCTGATGATTTTTGTTAAGCCACCTGCCTCACAAGCTCGTAGGGTTAGACCTACCTTGATTGTGATGCTAGGTGTGATCTTCTTGAACCGTCTAAACAGGATGCAAGACATCCACCGAGCTTGAAGAGCAATCCATCGAACTTCGGGTGTGTATCTCCTCTTATAGTAAGTTCGTCAATGTTACTTGCGATCGCTTCCTTAAGTTCCTCGCATTGGTCGTAGGTGAGTTGGGTCTGCGGGTAGTCCACAGGAACTACCGCGACCATCTGTCCTCTTGCGACCTTAGCGTAATTTCTGGGCCTCTCAGCCTCCCTCGGTTTCTTAGCTGCTGTAGCTGAGGTTCCTAGGGATGTCCTTGCTCGTTTTTCCGCAATCAGTCTTGATCTGGACCTCCAACTTTGAGGCCTCGCATTCTTAGCTGCTGGCCGGTGTGGCCTCGCAAACTTAGATGCTGGCCTTTTGGGTGTGTCCTTCTCATCCCCTGTCTGTAGTATTGGAGCTTTCCCCTCCGGCGCAGTAGCTTCGTTAGCCGGTCCTTTTGGGGCCCTTGCTTCCTCAGCGGAGTTCTCAACACAGGGTGGCGACCAACCTGGAAAAGTCAGGGAATTTTCAAAACCGGGAAAAGTCAGGAATTTTTTTAATTCAAAAATATTCTATTTAAATTGGAATTAATACACAGTGGATTAATATAACGACCTTAAGTTCGGAAATGTTGATGTTTTTATGTATGTCTCGATACGCAATAGAACATTTTATTCGGGAACGTCAAATTCAGATCACTATCCCTAAAAAACCGAAGAGAAACCGACTGTTTGAATTTTTTTTTTCAACCAACTACTATCGGGTTGCCCTAATGTGATGACTTTGACGTCGTCGGCCAAAGTGTATTCTTTTAGGAACATATTCTTTACGTCATTTCAAAATTTCAGCTGTCAGTTTTTCCGTTAAATGGACCGTCAAATTTCGCCTCGTTAATTTAAATTTTCGTATAGAAAGCAAGCATTTTATTCGGGAACGTCAAATTCAGATCACTATCCCTAAAAAACCGAAGATAAACCGACTGTTTGAATTTTTTTTTCAACCAACTACTATCGGGTTGCCCTAATGTGATGACTTTGACGTCGTCGGTCAAAGTGTATTCTTTTAGGAACATATTCTTTACGTCATTTCAAAATTTCAGCTGTCAGTTTTTCCGTTAAATGGACCGTCAAATTTCGCCTCGTTAATTTAAATTTTCGTATAGAAAGCAAGTTTTCAACTGACTGAACGAAGTTGTGTGTTCAGATGAGGTTTATCTAGAATTTAAAATGGTTACTAGCTATAAGTCCTTACTTTAAAGAAAATTGTCGGTAGCTCCTTGTCTAATAGCGAAATATTCAGAAGAACCGATTTTTTCGTGACTAGATAGGTAGTCATTGTTTTTTGGATATAACTGATTCAGCATGTCCTCGATTCGATTCGTAATTTTTTCAAATTGTAAGATTTATGTTGAATTCTTGAGCCAAGATATTAGATTCTTCAGTCTCCAGTCCGCAACATGTATAGACTTTTTCTTATATCTAGAACTGTTTTCTTTTCGTTATTCTTATTAAACTACTAAACAGAAATATGAATTTAACACTAAGAGTGGGAATGGAATTGTCCCTATAAATGTGATTCTTACATTGAGAACCAATGAAATAAAATATTTCCTCGATAAGTGAGATATAAACACGAAGATTTTTAGGAATTTAAATTCTAATATACGATCAT